CATGTTGCCACACTATACATATCTTTGAGAGATAAGCAGTCAACGGAAGTTTAGTCGATGATTTTGTGAGTTTTGTTTTATTTTATAATTGTTAAATAGCCAAAACAGTTTTATAAGAGAAATTTACTTTTAAAATCAGGAAAATATCCGACAGTTTCGTAAGGAGTAACCTACAAAGTTGCCTACACGCAACAGGCCGTGAATTATCCTTAAATTATATGCAGCTTTATCTTGCTAAGAGTGCGCTTTCTCTCTGAGTTGATTTTTCTTTAAGTGATTTCTAGTCAAAGTAGAAGTTACTAGTCAATGTTGTCACAGATAATAGCTATCTCTCTCTCTTTCTCTGCATAACTGTCGTGAAGTTGAATACATACAAGCACTTATAAATTGAGCTAATTCTATTTTACTAGATGCCATTAGAAATAGACCATCCAAGCTGCAGAAAAATTAAGCTCATGTAAAAAAAAAAAAAAAATAAATAAAACTTTTTCCATATGTTCGAAAATTACTGGGAAAACGTGTAAACTTCATACTCTGTGAATAAATATATGTTTTTGCTTTGTTTCCTGTCTTTTGTATTTTTTTTTTTTTTTGAACAATGCTTAAGAAAACGTACTCCTGAACTTTTGAGAGCGCCCCACATATTTAAGTATATTAAAAGAAGAAGAAATGACTTAGGTTCAAAAGTTCAATATCTTGAACTTGTTGAGCATGACAAGTAGTTAAATGACCTAAATATAATATTTAAACGTAAAACTTATATAGGTTTTTGCATATGAATTAAAGATCAGTGATGAATTGGCATACTCCTTTAATAGTTGGCTGCGTACGGATCTGAGTTCTAGAAGCGTATTATAGGAAAACCAATTGTATTATATACAGAAAAATACCGAATACATTATTTAACGCAAATTTCACATTTATAGGCTAAATCTTTTACCTAATTTAATGCATAAACACTTATGTAGGAATACATATACTTTGTTCACGTCAAGAAAATTTAATATCATTACAAGTAAATTTTAAAGGAAATAAAACATTAGAATGATTAATCTTTTACCTACTTAATACATAAGTTACTTATATAGGAATACATATACTTTATTCATGTCAAAAAATTTAAATATGATTACAGTAAATTTTTTTTTAAAGAAATAAAACATTAGAATGATATATTCTGAAGTGACTAAGCTCTCCATTTTATTATTTTTAACAAAATAAAAAGATACTTCCATGCTGCAAACTCATTCAAAATGCATTCTTAAAAAAACCGAAAATTTTAGGAAATTTCAAGCAGACAGTTATAATAGGGAAACCAGACAGTTATTAAGATAATACATAATTTTGCTCATTCTTTATGCAATCTTTATGTTAACTATTGAAACAGAAACTGTAAAACTACTATAAATTCGAAAAATTCATAATAGTAGCAATACAATGGATAAAATTTAATTAAAATATACTATTCTTTAAATTCAACTGAAACCCGCAGCAACGAATTGAAATGCTTCATGGAATGAAAGTTCTCTTAACTTCCTTCTTATAGTTTCACCATCTTTAATATTTTAAATCCTTTCATCAAAAATTCTAAAAAACAAAACTAAATTTCCTGTTTTTACCTCCATGTATACAAATCAATCTCTTTGAATTCAGATCAGTCGATAAAGGAAAGTAAGTATTACACACACTATTCACCATATGACTACTAATGCATTCACGTTAGACAGTAACCACGTTAACCTTAATTAGACCAATCAGTTGCCTTCCTCAGAGCCCTGCGTATATTTCACAATCGACCATTCATAATGAATAATTCTGTCAACGTGCAATCCACTTGTTAAATGCATAATAAACCCTTTGCGGTAAAATGATGAGTCCTGCTCGTCATCAGTTTTTTATGCTAAAAACCTTACATTGACGAGTTACACTCATCATGCAGCTAAAGTAACAGTTAACACATTTTAAATGAACGGAACTTTTAAAATTACTAGCAGGTAGTAAGTTAGCGTAATAGTTAGTATGCTATTGCTAGATTGAGAGCAAACTTCAGTCAATGTACATTTTTGCTTAAAGGAAAGCATTTGTAAAGTAAACGGCATAGATGGTGATGGTAATGAGGCCTTTGCAGATCAGAATGGAGTGATTATGAAGAATCAGAATAATTAAGTGTACATTTACCTGGTACTGATAATACAACAGAAAGTGATGATAGGGAACAATTACCAAGATGTCGATAACGTGCTAAGCAACTGATAAGGAGCGGCAGTGTACCCAAGGCTACAGTATAACGAAGCTTGTTCGTGCATGACATCACTAACTCCTAGTTTGCTCAAAACCAGCTGGCTTCTTTCTCCCAGTTCTGTAAGTAAGTGACGTCAGCGTTGGAAAGAGCCTAAACCTTGTTTGTCTTCTGACCTTGAATGTACCTTCTCGAAGCATAAACACATCACACAAAAATATACGTTTAGAAGGAAATAGAGAAAACGCCTGAAATAAAAGAATTTACGGAAGAACCTGATGTAAGTGATTTGATTTTGCACAAACTTTGTGTTAAATTTGTTAAATCTAAATTTGTTAAACATTTTTCAGGTGTTGAATATTAACTTTTTAGAAATAATATCGATGGAAACAAATAGATACGCGAAATAAGAAATAAAGAAATAACGTTGCCCAAACAAGAAAATAGATGCAGAATTTCTTCCTGTAACTGTCGACGAAATAAAAGCATAGTTCTTGCTACGTTTTATTATGTCAAAATGAAAAGACCTCAGATTCTAAAAAGTATACTGGTAGAAAAGACAACAGTGTATAGTACTATACTATAGGTTAGGCGTTTCAAAACACATAAACTGAAATTTTTTTTAAATATAGTAAAATTATTTAAATGACAAATTTACTAATGTTTACACTGCAAAAAAATAAGATATCTATAGTCGAAACATAGATGAAATACAAAGTTAAGTCTTAAGGTTTTTCAAGAACAAAAGTTTGTAGGAGATTTTATTGGTCTACTCAGTCTCATCTCAGGTTTTATTGGTCCACTCGGTCTCATGTCAGATATATCATCAACTATTAACCGTTGACGGTATGATTTAATTTTCAAAAGAACGCGACATCTCTTTCTGACTCACACACTACAAACAAATACTAACTGACACTACAAACAAATACTAACTTAACTTATACAAAGTTAAGTTATTAAGGTTTGCCCAGTTTATGCGTCTAAGCGAAAAAGATTTGAAGTAAAATTTTGTAAAGTGTGTGAGTCAGAAAGTGATGTCGCGTTCTTTTGAAAATTAAATCATACCGTCAACGGTTAATAGTTGATGATATATCTGAGATGAGACCGAGTGGACCAATAAAACCTGAGATGAGACTGAGTAGACCAATAAAATCTCCTACAAACTTTTGTTCTTGAAAAAGCTGTTATCTATAACTTCGCCAATTAAATTAATTTAACAGTGGAAAGATTCACGTGAATGGTGATATTCACTTAATTTTCTTCACTAGAATTAAATTACTATAATTGTCACATGATCACTGTTGCGTTCACGCTGTGCCAAATGATTTAGCTTAATTGGATCCGTCAGGTGTTTCATTTGAAGATCTACGTACAATCAATCACTTATAAGTCTAATGAATAAAGTCTGTGAACTTGCATTTCAGATGTCAGTAAAAAAGTTCATTATTAAGAACTGATGACACATCTCAGCTGAGACTGAGCATGCCAACAAATTCTTCAAAACAGTTTTTTTTTTTTTTTTTTTTTTTTTTTTTTTTTTTTTTTCAGAAACAGTCATCTGTAATTTCGCTAGTTGAGTCTGGCTTACAGTGACAAGGTGGGTTATTTGCCATCTAAAGGAGATTTCATATTTTCCTACAGTCATCCAAAAAACCTTCAAAAATTACATCCGAAGTGAAGAAAACTCAGTACATTTTATTTTGTAAAAGATGCACGTAAAGAAAATAATGGATCTTTATATAAATCAATGGACAGCTCTGTGATTCTTGTGTTGATTGATGAACGCGCTTGAACGAACGAAATACTGTCGCTAAATCATTAAAATTGTACATGCAAACTCACACAATCTAGGTGCCTCGTATAAAGGCACTTGAAAGTTAACATTTAAGTATTCAATAATTGTGTATTATTTCTTTATTTTTATATTTTATCGTATATTTTAATTAAAATTAGGAAAGAAAATTTTCAGATTTAAATGTTAAATCTAAATCAAAAACTGTATAAGATTAATTTTAGACGCAAAATTCTGACTCTCATGAAGTAGTTTTAATTATTTAATTATTTTATTATTAATTTTCTTTCTCTTCTCTTTTTCAACTTTCTAAGAAAGTTTCATGGGTATGTTTTTAATACCAACGGCGTATAAACAGTAATATAAATAAAGTATGGAACAAGATTTCTCAATATAAATTTATTTCGCGAGTTGCTTTTGAAACCAATTCCAATTTTGAACATCTGCGCCAATTCTGCCATTTTGTCTTCAATCAAGCAAAACGACGGTAAATTCCGTAAACGCTTCAAATATTTATATCAAAACTTATGCTCATAATTTTTTGTATTTCTTCGACGTTATCGAATATAAATACATTTCACCCAATATTCTATCAAACTTCCTGTGTTACTGTCGACATTAAAAGCTTTTTTTCCTTAATGAATCATTACAAAATATCAAATTCGATAAGTATATAATTCTATATTTATCTTAGATACAGATAAGCAGAAATCTACCTTTCTGAAATATAAATCAATTCAAATAGTCATAAAAATTAAAACAATTTCATAACATTACAAAAACTAAATAAAACACTGCTACCAGCTCTTTCCGATACCGAAGTATTAATTGGCTCAGAATTCTTTTCTGTGTAGTTTCAGACAGTCTTTATCGTGATTCTAATTGGTTGTATGGCAGTTAAAAATGTTACAGAAAATGTATGATTACTATTTTTGAAAATGTATGATTACTACTACTTTTTCCCAGCGAAGACCCAGACAAGTATTCACTGAGGTGGTGTGGGAGCGTTTCTGAAGTTACAGGCCAAGAAGGAATAGGAGGAGGAAAGCTAGACGGGCCAAGTCGAGATCTACTGGATACGGTCCGAACTCCTCTTATTCATTAACCCACCTTGCTCTTGTAAACTCATCTAAGCCTGGATATGAAAGTACATCCAAGATGGCCGCCCAACTACCCGCCCGTCAACCTCTCACAATTCGCGATTTAGAAAATACTAATGCAATACCACATTAACTGCTTTTGATTGGTATATGAACACAATTATGAGTGAAAAAGTGAAACCAAATAACTAAGATAAACTGGCCATTAGTTGGTGTAGTCCTTTCTGTTGCCAATTTTTGCAAATCTAACGACAGACACAGTCATTGTATTATATACGACAACTGCGGTTTTTATTTGTTTAGCTTTTTGTTTGGGAAAACCATTTAAAAAATACTGCTTTAAATTGTAATTGCGACCAATATTTTAAAAATTCTGTGTACTGAAATATCATTGTAATAGATATACAAGTTGAAAATTTGCGTTAAACGATGCCCAATGGAATTTTTAGAAGTAAATACCATGTTGCGAAAATTAGTAATTAGATATTTTCGCTGGTTTCGAGTTAAAGCTCACATGTAATTTGAAAACTCATACTTTGACTGACATAGTCTGTTAGATTAGCATTTATAAATTATTAGAGCGTTGTTTTTGCCGTTTCAATTAAGCTCCTAGCGTAATGTGATTAAAGTGTTCTTTGGTGTTTACGCAAAGCTTCAAGTTGTCCACATCGAAACACGTCCAACACCGTGGGGTCAAAATGCAATGTTAATTCTCCACATTAGCTTTTGCACAATCCCACCCAATTTTTAGCACATTTCTTATTAGAAATATTTAGAAATAGAAGTATACAAGTTTTCTTTTATATTCAACTTACTTTAGCTATAAAAGTAATGCCAAAATGTTTCCTTCCGCAAATTCATCAAAATACATGTTTAAAGACTTTTTTCAGCATACGTAACTTGGATCACATTTTGTAACATTTATGAAAACTGTATAAATGTTTATGAAAATTTATCTTACAAAAATTGATTTTTGATGTAACTTTTAACTAGGAAAGGAGTTGGATGTTGTTCCACATGAGAGGTATAATATTATGACTGTTGCCAACTGCACATCCGTTTTATTTATTTACCAGTCCAGTATTCTTTATGGTTCCAGAGAGGTAAAAGGAGTTTTTAATCAATATCCGTGAGTGAGAAATTCTGAAAGAGTATCTCTCTGCTTTGTTTAATAACGATATAATTGATGCTGCAGAGTTCTAAAAATACTATCAGAAATACACCAAAAGCGTACTGTTAGGTAATAAAAAACCTAATGATAAATTCAGAATGAACATTTTCCTCTAATGAGATCCAAAATTTTATTATGTTTTAAACATTCATCATAAGAAAAGTCCAGCTTAAAGTAAACTATTAATTACTAAACTACCTTCACTGTAGGAGAAGCAAATCTTTACATAGGACTTCCATGATTTGATCTAACATTGTCAAAGTACTATTTGTTTATATCATTTAATGCTTTATTTACTGAAACCGTAACAACAGCTACTGAAACCTTTTTCACGTTATTAGCACAGTTAACATATCCGTAACCGTCCGTTTAACGTAGTTGAAGTTCACAATTCTATTCAGCTTTTCCAGAAAACATTTTACGCAAAATATGGAACACTGTTCAGTGTGGGCATACACCGTCCACTCTGCATTAATTGCTTCACTGCTCTGTTAAACATCTTGTTTTAATTACTTGAAATGCTGACAGTATTCAAATCTAATGGATTTTTATTTTGAAATACTTAGTCCATCATTCTTTTTGAAACAGAACAACTTGTAAGAGCTTTAAATTAAAAGTCAAAGTTCATCATTCATATGTAATGCATAACGTCATAAATATGCTTAATTGTTGTAATTATTGACATCTTTTTCCAGAATTCAATTTTCACCGTATTTCATTTCAAAAAAGTCCTTATTTATAAATTTATTTTAATATCACTATATATAAACTTTTCCTTGAACCTTTTCGGTTCAAACTTTTATTCTAAACATTGCATAAATTATCTAAACAAATGTTTGCTTTTGAATTAAATGAGGGTACAAGATGATTTTGTAAGAGACACGTATTGCTAAATATCTGATATGGTGTAAATTACTCGTCATAAAAAAAAATTTACTAAACAACTATCATCGCTTTTCCTCATTCTCTTGCATAACACCATTTTCAGAAGCACATATACTGGTGAAACGCAGAGAAGTTTTTGTAATCATTTTAGGTTATTACGAGAGAGAACTTTATTTTAAGTATTTTCCAAATAATGATTAGCTTGATTTTAAATTCCTTCCCTGTAACATTTCCAATAATATATTTTAATAAAAATAAAATATGGTTGAAATATTCTTATTCACATTGTTAGCTTAATAACTATATTAATCTTAATAAATAGAGAATTTACAAATTTAATATTAGTAAATTTATATTTTACTTATATTTATTCCTATGATTTAGAGAACCTTTTAATTTATAGAGTTATAATAAAATAAAATGCATCCAAAATAACTTTAAACTGAACCATAACACCTTTGTAGAAGTAGTACTTGTACTACCCTATTTTGTAGAAGTTTTGTGCATATTGTTACCTTTAAATGATATGATAATTGTCTGCTACTTTGTTCCTAAAATCTGACCCTTAAAATTGTACTATTTAAAGTTTCTGCTAGATGGAAAAGCAATTGTTTTGTAATTTTTAGGAACTTTATTTTAAAAACTGTCAGTTTTATACTTGTGTAAAACCTCTTTCAATATACCAAAAATCAAAAAAGTAAGATATCTTGGTGCCAAACATTGATTTTATAATCAATCACAGATTAATATGCCCATTGAATTAATTTTATAAGTTTGAAATTTCTTTCGTAAATGAAACATTTTATATTTGAAAGGAAATGATTTTTTTAGGACTTAACTGGAAAAACTTCCAGTACCTCTATTAACAGCATTCATTATAACTTTAATAATACCGCTATTAATAGCATACATATAGCTCGAATGCTTCTGATATTCCTCTTAACAGCATGCACTATTATTTCAGTCGAACACAAAATGTACCGTCATTTTGCATGCTGTTTCGTTTCTGCTACAGTGCAGTACTCATTATTGTCTCAGCCTATCTAATAACTCAAGAATACTAATGATTTCGACTAAAAAAGCAAAATTAAAATATATTTAAATGCACATTATATCATTCGTGACTTAACTTCTGATAATAACTCTGAAGTACTTTGTACTGTACTTCTAGGGTACATTTCTTTATCTCGACGCTATGATACAGAATTTGATGAGAGATCATGTTGCCACACTATACATAATCTTTGAGAGATAAGCAGTCAACGGAAGTTTAGTCGATGATTTTGTGAGTTTTGTTTCATTTTATAATTGTTAAATAGCCAAAACAGTTTTATAAGAGAAATTTACTTTTAAAATCAGGAAAATATCCGACAGTTTCATAAGGAGTAACCTACAAAGTTGCCTACACGCAACAGGCCGTGAATTATCCTTAAATTATATGCAGCTTTATCTTGCTAAGAGTGCGCTTTCTCTCTGAGTTGATTTTTCTTTAAGTGATTTCTAGTCAAAGTAGAAGTTACTAGTCACATGTTGTCACTAGATAATAGCTATCTCTCTCTCTTTCTCTGCATAACTGTCGTGAAAGTTGAATACATACAAGCACTTATAAACTGAGCTTAATTCTATTTTACTAGATGCCATTAGAAATAGACCATCCAAGCTGCAGAAAAATTAAGCTCATGTAAAATAAAAAAAAAAAAAAATAAAAAAACTTTTTCCATATGTTCGAAAATTACTGGGAAAAACGTGTAAACTTCATACTCTGTGAATAAATATAATGTTTTTGCTTTGTTTCCTGTCTTTTGTATTTTTTTTTTTGAACAATACTTAAGAAACGTACTCCTGAACTTTTAGAGCGCCCCACATATTTAAGTATATTAAAAGAAAGAAATGACTTAGGTTCAAAAGTTCAATATCTTGAACTTGTTGAGCATGAAAAGTAGTTAAATGACCTAAATATAATATTTAAACGTAAAACTTATATAGGTTTTTCGCATATGAATTAATAGATCAGTGATGAATTGGCATACTCCTTTAATAGTTGGCTGCGTACGGATCTGAGTTCTAGAAGCGTATTATAGGAAAACCAATTGTATTATATTACAGAAAAATACCGAATACATTATTTAACGCAAATTTCACATTTATAGGCTAAATCTTTTACCTAATTAATGCATAAACACTTATGTAGGAATACATATACTTTGTTCACGTCAAGAAAATTTAAATATCATTACAAGTAAATTTTAAAGGAAATAAAACATTAGAATGATATAATCTTTTACCTACTTAATACATAAGTTACTTATATAGGAATACATATACTTTATTCATGTCAAAAAATTTAAATATGATTACAAGTAAATTTTAAAGGAAATAAAACATTAGAATGATATATTTCTGAAGTGACTAAGCTCTCCATTTTATTATTTTTAACAAAATAAAAAGATACTTCCATGCTGCAAACTCATTCAAAATGCATTCTTAAAAAAACCGAAAATTTTAGGAAATTTCAAGCAGACAGTTATAATAGGGAAACCAGACAGTTATTAAGATAATACATAATTTTGCTCATTCTTTATGCAATCTTTATGTTAACTATTGAAACAGAAACTGTAAAACTACTATAAATTCGAAAAATTCATAATAGTAGCAATACAATGGATAAAATTTAATTAAAATATACTATTCTTTAAATTCAACTGAAACCCGCAGCAACGAATTGAAATGCTTCATGGAATGAAAGTTCTCTTAACTTCCTTCTTATAGTTTCACCATCTTTAATATTTTAAATCCTTTCATCAAAAATTCTAAAAAACAAAACTAAATTTCCTGTTTTTACCTCCATGTATACAAATCAATCTCTTTGAATTCAGATCAGTCGATAAAGGAAAAGTAAGTATTACACACACTATTCACCATATGACTACTAATGCATTCACGTTAGACAGTAACCACGTTAACCTTAATTAGACCAATCAGTTGCCTTCCTCAGAGCCCTGCGTATATTTCACAATCGACCATTCATAATGAATAATTCTGTCAACGTGCAATCCACTTGTTAAATGCATAATAAACCCTTTGCGGTAAAATGATGAGTCCTGCTCGTCATCAGTTTTTTATGCTAAAAACCTTACATTGACGAGTTACACTCATCATGCAGCTAAAGTAACAGTTAACACATTTTAAATGAACGGAACTTTTAAAATTACTAGCAGGTAGTAAGTTAGCGTAATAGTTAGTATGCTATTGCTAGATTGAGAGCAAACTTCAGTCAATGTACATTTTTGCTTAAAAGGAAAGCATTTGTAAAGTAAACGGCATAGATGGTGATGGTAATGAGGCCTTTGCAGATCAGAAATGGAGTGATTATGAAGATCAGAATAATTAAGTGTACATTTACCTGGTACTGATAATACAACAGAAAGTGATGATAGGGAACAATTACCAAGATGTCGATAACGTGCTAAGCAAACTGATAAGGAGCGGCCAGTGTACCCAAGGCTACAGTATAACGAAGCTTGTTCGTGCATGACATCACTAACTCCTAGTTTGCTCAAAACCAGCTGGCTTCTTCTCTCCAGTTCTGTAAGTAAGTGACGTCAGCGTTGGAAAGAGCCTAAACCTTGTTTGTCTTCTGACCTTGAATGTACCTTCTGGAAGCATAAACACATCACACAAAAATATACGTTTAGAAGGAAATAGAGAAAAACGCCTGAAATAAAAGAATTTACGGAAGAACCTGATGTAAATGATTTGATTTTGACAAACTTTGTGTTAAATTTGTTAAATCTAAATTTGTTAAACATTTTTCAGGTGTTGAATATTAACTTTTTAGAAATAATATCGATGGAAACAAATAGATACGCGAAATAAGAAATAAAGAAATAACGTTGCCCAAACAAGAAAATAGATGCAGAATTTCTTCCTGTAACTGTCGACAAAATAAAAGCATAGTTCTTGCTACGTTTTATTATGTCAAAATGAAAAGACCTCAGATTCTAAAAAGTATACTGGTAGAAAAGACAACAGTGTATAGTACTATACTATAGGTTAGGCGTTTCAAAACGCATAAACTGAAAATTTTTTTAAATATAGTAAATTATTTAAATGACGAATTTACTAATGTTTACACTCCAAAAAAATAAGATATCTATAGTCGAAACATAGATGAAATACAAAGTTAAGTCTTAAGGTTTTTCAAGAACAAAAGTTTGTAGGAGATTTTATTGGTCTACTCAGTCTCATCTCAGGTTTTATTGGTCCACTCGGTCTCATGTCAGATATATCATCAACTATTAACCGTTGACGGTATGATTTAATTTTCAAAAGAACGCGACATCTCTTTCTGACTCACACACTACAAACAAATACTAACTGACACTACAAACAAATACTAACTTAACTTATACAAAGTTACGTTATTAAGGTTTGCCCAGTTTATACGTCTAAGCGAAAAAGATTTGAAGTAAAATTTTGTAAAGTGTGTGAGTCAGAAAGTGATGTCGCGTTCTTTTGAAAATTAAATCATACCGTCTACGGTTAATAGTTTATGATATATCTGAGATGAGACCGAGTGGACCAATAAACCCTGAGATGAGACTGAGTAGACCAATAAAATCTCCTACAAACTTTTGTTCTTGAAAAAGCTGTTATCTATAACTTCGCCAATTAAATTAATTTAACAGTGGGAAGATTCACGTGAATGGTGATATTCACTTAATTTTCTTCACTAGAATTAAATTACTATAATTGTCACATGGTCACTGCTGCGTTCACGCTGTGCCAAATGATTTAGCTTAATTGGATCCGTCAGGTGTTTAACTTGAAGATCTACGTACAATCAATCACTTATAAGTCTAATGAATAAAGTCTGTGAACTTGCATTTCAGATGTCAGTAAAAAAGTTCATTATTAAGAACTGATGACACATCTCAGCTGAGACTGAGCATGCCAACAAATTCTTCAAAACAGTTTTTTTTTTTTTTTTTTTTTTTCAGAAACAGTCATCTGTAATTTCGCTAGTTGAGTCTGGCTTACAGTGACAAGGTGGGTTATTTGCCATCTAAAGGAGATTTCATATTTTCCTACAGTCATCCAAAAAACCTTCAAAAATTACATCCGAAGTGAAGAAACTCAGTACATTTTATTTTGTAAAAGATGCACGTAAAGAAAATAATGGATCTTTATATAAATCAATGGACAGCTCTGTGATTCTTGTGTTGATTGATGAACGCGCTTTGAACGAAATACTGTCGCTAAATCATTAAAATTGTACATGCAAACTCACACAATCTAGGTGCCTCGTATAAAGGCACTTGAAGTTAACATTTAAGTATTCAATAATTGTATTAATTTCTTTATTTTTATATTTTATCGTATATTTTAATTAAAATTAGGAAAGAAAATTTTCAGATTTAAATGTTAAATCTAAATCAAAAACTGTATAAGATTAATTTTAGACGCAAAATTCTGACTCTCATGAAGTAGTTTAATTATTTAATTATTTTATATTAATTTTCTTTCTCTTCTCTTTTTCAACTTTCTAAGAAAGTTTCATGGGTATGTTTTTAATACCAACGGCGTATAAATAGTAATATAAATAAAGTATGAAACAAGGTTTCTCAATGGAAATTTATTTCGCGAGTTGCTTTTGAAACCAATACCAATTTTGAACATCCGCGCCAATTCTGCCACTTTGTCTTCAATCAAGCAAAACGACGGTAAATTCCGTAAACGCTTCAAATATTTATATCAAAACTTATGCTCATAATTTTTTGTATTTCTTCGACGTTATCGAACATAAATACATTTCACCCAATATTTTATCAAACTTCCTGTGTTACTGTCGACATTAAAAGCTTTTTTTTCCTTAATGAATCATCACAAAATAGCAAATTCGATAAGTATATAATTCTATATTTATCTTAGATACAGATAAGCAGAAATCTAGCTTTCTGAAAATATAAATCAATTCAAATAGTCATAAAAATTAAAACAATTTCATGACATTACAAAAACTAAATAAAACACTGCTACCAGCTCTTTCCGATACCCGAAGTATTAATTGTCTCAGAATTCTTTTCTGTGTAGTTTCAGACAGTCTTTATCGTGATTCTAATTGGTTGTATGGCAGTTAAAAATGTTACAGAAAATGTATGATTACTATTGGATGTATTGAAAATAAGAAATGCTGAAGAAAGTACGCAGTGTTAGGTAAAGTAGACGGTGCTAGAAATAAATATACACTTTATAACTGCAATTCAATTAAAGCGTTTTTCAACAACATCTGAGACTGAGAATACATTGATTTCTACTCAAAATTAGTTAGTTTTCTTTCTGTTCAATAGATTTTTCTATTCAAGTATAATTTAATTCTAATTAGGTTGATAATAAAGTGCAAAGTAAACTTTTAGAATATCTCGATACATATTAGCAACTTTTTTTATTTTATTAATTTTACATCTGAAACGTATGGATAACCATTTCAAAACTAACAACAAAAACAGTTCAACAAACAAATGAAAGGTACGAAAATTTTTAATTTCACATATAATAAAATTCTTTGAATCTTTTATAAAATACAACATTATCAATAGATAAGTAAGAAAAACAGATAAATATGATTAATTTGTTACTTTCGAATATTTTCCTGTTTTAAGAGCAATTCGAACACAACATTATCATGAAACTTTCAAAACTTATTATCTAAAATGAATATGCACCGTAACACTAAATCATTCACACAAGCTTTAAAATAATTTCTCATACCTAACTGGACAGCAGAACAACC